TGTGCCCAATCAAATTTTAGTACTTTTTAGTTACCTTTATGGAATAGGGTGGTTGATTTTCAGTTTGTGTCAGGCGACCACAGGTCTGTGGCAGCTAGGATTGACATGATTTGACTAGTGGGTCGTTTAAGATGATGCCAAGTGACAAACATCCAACGGACAACCACTTCTTCTCTCTTGATATGAAAATTTATACTTGTGTCTAACATTCATTTGTACTAGGTTCGTTAGCGACAGTGAACTCAACTCACAGATTGCAAAGATTTGGTATTCTCTTTTCAAACTCAACACCCAAAATCTCACTCATCGTGTCTCTCCCACACTCAAAATCTATATACATCCATTTAACTTGAAGGTGCGAGTGTTCACAATCATCGCACCCCAATTGGAGCTACGATCACGAGTAGTCTAACGTGATTGTCCAAGTTTACAGGTAACATATGCGTCGATGGAAGATGAGCTGAAATTTGTTAGCCGCACGATACTGTCGAATTCTGTGATTACCACAGTACATATTCTAAGTAAGATTTTTTTTTCTTTCTTTACCCATGTGAAATCCCTCAGGGATTTATTATTACTATTATTATTATTATCCTCGTATTTGATTAAAATCCACGTGACCAATTGTGATCGAGCATTAATAACGAGGACAGATAGTTTCGTGTACCTATGCAAAATTTAGAAAAATCTTATTCAAGTGAATATTGAGCATTTTAAGTCGAGAATATTAAGATGTCTAAGTATGAAATGTTTTTTTATCGAGACTTGTAATATATACAACGTTTTTGTCAAATTTAATTATTTTAATCTAGATTATAAAGAATACAAGTACATTGTGTAAATAAAAACCACAAATACCGAAATTCCATATATGTGGAGTAGATATTTCAAGCCAAATTTATGTAAGAGAAATAACAATTATATACAATCAACATAGTAGGATTTAAATAATAAAATAGTAAAACTAAGTCAAAATAACTCAAATCTATAATCTATGATATATTAAATATTACATGAAATGAGAATAATTTTCTGGACAATTTTAACCCTATTATAATTCAATTATTTCAATAATAACTTATTTTTCGTTTTTCGATATCTAATAAATATTACAAAATCCTTGTCATCTATGATTTTCGTGTTATTAATTCTCAATTAATTATTATTCACACTAATCTAGATTTAATGAATCTTGACTTGATGAATCTTGATTTACATGAATCTAAATTTATTATATATGAATTTATTTTTATTCATGTATCTAGAAATTTTAATAGATGTTTAAATTCATGTATTAGCAATTAATTCTTATGTATCAAATGTAGTATAAAAAAGTTGATCATTTGTAGTATTTCATCACCGCAAAAATTTGAATAATAGAAATTGAGTTTTGATAGCACAATTTCTTCTTTTAAATTTTATTTTATTCATTTGAGACTCATCAAATCCTTTCGATAAATAAGTATCAAATATTACTTTTACAGTACCTATAAAGTATTTCAAAATAACGTGCAACACATATTCCACTTTGACTAGTATATTAAACATCACATGAAGTAAGAATCATTTTTTGGACAATTCTAACTCTACTACAATTCAATTTCAATATTACTTTATTTTTTGTTTATGAATATGTAATAAATACTCCCAAAATCCTTGTCACGTATGAATTTCGTGTTATTAATTTTCAATTAATTAACATTCACATTAATTTAAACTCAATGAATCTTGACCTAATAAATCTATATCGACATGAATCTAGATTTATTATAGATAAATTTATTTCTATTCATGTATCTAGAAATTTTAATGATTTTTTAAATTCATGTATTATCAATTAATTTTTAATTTTACAGTACTTATAAAGTATTTCAAAATAACGTGTAATGTACGCTCAACTCTAACTAGTAAAAGTAAATAAGAGATACATTATGCAGATTATTTTATTTTATTTTTTTCCATATGAGCACCTTAAATTATTTGTTTTTAGTGCAACCCTGGCTTCACCCCGACGATATGTACTGTAGAATTGAATAATCTACACGAATTATTGTTAAAAACTTTCAAGCTATAAATGATTAGAGGCATAAATCATTCGAGCGAGTGCATGTAGACATCAAAATAAAAAAATTGATAATTAAACCATTCAAGCCATAAATTTCTATGGTCCAGAGAGAAAGAGAGGCACTTGCTAGCATTTTCTTGGAAATTAACTCAGTTATTCTCAAATTTGGCTAGATTGATTATACATGTCTACCACTTTGAATTAAATAAAATAAAACTTGAGAAGAAGAGAGAGAGAATGAATTTGTCTATCGTTTTATCTAATCTACCATAACAAACAAGTAAAATGTATACAACTTAATTTAATTTAATAACACTGGAAAGAAATTTCAATTCCATATTAGTTGGAAAATAAAAACTCACTAAACACATAGAAATTCGTTTTCCATGAAAACAAAGAAAATGCAGTTTAAAGTGGTTGTACCTTCGAATTCGATTTCTATTTCCACGTTGCAATCAAACGGTCAAAGTAAAATTCGTTTTCCTCGGATGTGACATTTTTCATAGATAATGTGGCAATCAAACATGGCCTTACTAAATACAAATTAAACAACATAATTATAGTTTTTAAAAGTAATGTGTTCTAACGATTTTTTGGCACGTTCGTCATTTCATGTTATAAGACATTAAATATTCGTGTTTGAAGATTAATGAAAGAGAGTACTCAGTCCACAATAGCATGTTGAGGCTTGTGTTAAAAATGCGATCACCATCATAAACGTTAATATTCCAAGTATTAAAATTTACTTACAAACTCAATGTGTATCTTATAAGATCGAATGATCGACAAGAGTGCTAAGCCCATGTTTGGTAGAGGTTTTTTGAAAAGTTATTTTGTGAAAAGTGATTTCTTTGGAGCGTGTGGTTAAAAACTAGAAAAAAGTTGAGTTTACGTGGAAATTATTTTTATTAGGAGAATGTATAGTTAAAAATAAGTTTGAAAAATATAAATTTTAGAAAATTGGGGTCAAACAAGGCCAAAATATGATCCAAATAAATCCGTGTTCTAAAAGCATAAAACGTGACGAAGCGTGAAGGTCAAACTTCGATCAAAACGTAAAAAAAGCATTTTATTATTTTAAATTTTTTAATCAATTTAAAAATTATTTAATAATTAAAGAAAAAAACGTAAAAAAGTGTTAAAAAGCATAAAAGCGTAAAAAAAAATGTGTCTAAGAGCGACTAAGTGCGAAAAAAGGGCAAAAAATGCGAGCTGGGGTAAGGCATTTTGTGCCCGCTTCATGCCTATCTAAGCACTGCTTTTTAGAACACTGAAATAAACACGTATAGTATGTCAAACTATATAAATTCGAACATAATAAAAGAGAAGTAAAATGAAATTTGTCAATCCTTTTGTCAGGTGTAGCATATTAAAAACGGAAAACTAATAAGACTAAATAAGTTTATCGATAATGTTTCTTATACGTCTTAATACATGTTGTTTATCATCTTGCTCATGTACTAATCAATATTTGTTTACAATATGATATATGAAAAGATATTATTAATTATCATGAGTTAACTATTATTGAATGTTCTTATCAAAAATGCAATTTCTCCACGGCGTCTAATTATGAAGAAGTGGACATATTTTGTCCTTAAAATAGAATCCACAATATTGCAATGTCAACAAAATTGAATTTTGGTTAAAAAATACTTATAAATAATTTTTTATATGTTTGTTTAGAACATCAATTGATTGAGAAAGATAAAAATTGTCAAAGCATGTAGGCTCGTTAACTATGGTACAATGTCTATGGACTTAGAATCGTAATTATCACATGTTGTAAAATATATTGGATAATAAATCTTATGCAGACATGAGACATCATCATTAGGCCACCATTACGCTCCACTGCCTCGTAATTTCCAAAGAACCACTTTTGTATGTGGTAAAACTTGGAGGGTTATTTGACTTCTTCGTTCTTTCTTGGTTGTGTCATGACTCGATAATTTAGATTAAGTTTATCGTTGATGAACGTCATTGTTGATGTCGATCCCAAAAAAGATGCCGATATAGCATCTAGATTAGGGTATTTGAAAATGATTCATCGAAGTGTTCTAAAGGATCAAAATCGACAAAAGAACTTATTTAGCATCGAGATAAGTTTATGGCTTAACCATATATCTAATGCCAACTACTTCCAATAGTAGTTAGAGAATTATATATTGTAAATATTAAACATCATATTACTCCTCAATTTTATTTTATTTTTTGACAGAATATTACTCTTCAATTTGCATAAAAAATCCATTTAAAGAAAGAGAGTTGATCTTACAGAATACATTTGTTAGCTATATATCTTAAGTTACATAAAATTAATTATATTTCTCCTCAATTTGCCCTTAAATTTCATTTAAAGAAAGAGATTTGTGCTTACAAAATACATTGAAACTGCAAATTTATTAATTGTTAGCTGTTTGAGCACTCCAACAGAGTTGAATTCATCATATTTGACCACCTTTTTTTTCATAGTGGCCACTTATAAGTTAGCAAATAATCAATTATTTTGTCCATTTGATGGCTCATTCTGCGTTGACAAATAGACTCATTATTAGTAGTGTCTATATGGTATGGGACTATGTAAATGTTACCTGCCCAGTTGTAAACTTAATTCCCAAGCTTCTAACCTGTAGAGTTTTATCTTCTCTTTTTATCCATTTGCATGCATTTTTTGCTTATATATATCCTCTGAATTTATATCCATTCGCATGCATTTATATCCTCTGAATTCAAGAATCTTGTTTTTCTACTAAATCAGTCGAGGGGCTTGAGAGGTGGTGGTTCAGTTTTTGAAACATGAACAATACAACAAAGCCAAGAATGAGATCCATGTTCAATTTGGCTTATGATAGAGGTTGAAAATATAGAGTTTGTTTCATTATTTTGAGGGTTTTTTTATTTTTTTATTTTTCGCTTGTCTTTGGAAGAAAATATGGATGTTGTTAAGGGGAAGGAGAAGAAAAATTCTATACTCAAGAAATTAGAGAGTTATCTGTCCATGAATAGACAGGCTAAATCTTCGATGAAAATTAAGTTCTCCAAGAGTAATTCGTGGAACTACCGCACAGCCAAGGCTTCAGCTTCAACCAAAGACGATAAAAGGCTCAAAACAAAGCACCAAGTGGCTCCAAATGGTTGTTTCTCTGTGTATGTTGGACCGGAAAAGCAAAGGTTCGTGATCAAGATTGAGTATGCGAATCACCCTTTGTTCAAAATGTTGCTTGAGGATGCTGAATTGGAATATGGATTCAATAGTGAAGGTCCTTTAATGCTTCCATGTGATGTTGATCTTTTCTGGAAAGTTTTAGCTGAAATGGATAGAAGTGAAGAGACTAATCATTCTTGTGGTGGTTTCGTGCATGGCTCGTGTAGTCCCTTCAGTCCTGCTCTGGGCTCAAGGAGAAGTTCGTATAGCCTTCTTACTCCCCCGCGATTGCTTAAGATAAATCACTTTCGAGTGAGCTTCAGTGAGCAATGTCATGTGTAGATAATCTGTGTGCTTAAATTGCTGGTGCATTATAGTTTGTTGTTTTTCTTGATGGCCTTTAAATGAATGAAGATAGGAATTTTTATAGCGAATAGTATTGCGAAATTTTTACATTTCTCTTCGTTCTCCTCTTGATTGTAGAAGGAAAGCTCCTTATGGCCTTCTGGACATGACGACGGGATTTGTTTTGTCCGATGTCGTGTCCAATTCAGCATATTGACCATAGCCTTATCGTTTTATCCACTAGGATTAGATTGTTATAATTTTGTAAACTAAATAATGAACCAGAGATGTAAATATCTTGGTTGATATACAATATACATTCAGAAAGAGACAACTAACTGCAAGGTGAAAACAAGATCAACGTTAATAAATAAAACTAAGTCTTATTCGCAGTAAATTAAGGTCAGTTAATCCCGAGATTTGTGTAGGTAGGTTTTATACAGGGTAGTTTTTAAAAAAGGAAAAAAGTATTATATGATGACAGCACAGTAGAAATAAAAAAATTTAGAGTTGAATTGGACCAGTTCAAAATTCGTAAGAGGTGAAATTTTTGAATACTAAATTCTAATATCGACAGCAAAATATGACGTTTGAAATGCTAACATAGTCATCATACGATGTGTGCAAAGGTGATTGATTTCACTAAATAAGCTTCAATTCTATTAATATAATCACAAAAGAAATCTATTTTAGTTCTAGCTTGAAGTGTACGTATTTGAGGTCAAACGATAAATAACACATAATCAGTCACTAATTTCGAAAGGTAAACAATTTAGTCCTCTATCTTCATAAGCAATTCGAATTTTTTCATAGCAGGAGCAGGCAATCCAAGAATCATATTAATGCTTTTCTTTCTTTTTCATGAGAAAGAAACAGAATCGCTCCCTTTCTGGGCAAAGCCATGGCCCCAATAGAATCGGCTTTCACCTACCGAAATATGTAGTGTAGAATGAAAGTCTAGACCAGGTAGTGATCAGCAGGTTTGAAGCATGTCTGTCACCATATTCACTGCCTCCTGAACTAGTTACAGTGGACGGAAGGGGATTTTCGACTACATCACTGCACTGCAGATTGAATTAGACAACAGGATGGCATTGCCACAGTATCCTTTAGGAATTGGTGGATCAAATTATCTGGACCTTCCATCAACTGCGAAAAGAAGCTTCTTTTGTTGATCAGGCTTTAAGTCTAATGCCTTGCTGCACGCTTTCCATACTAATGCTGAAAGGGATTCGGTTTTGGAATCAATGGGAGGTGGATTTAGAGTTTCAGTCCAATAACTCAATCAAGATTCGAATTCGATATTTCGTTAACTAAATGGAGCAAATATGGATATAGGTCAATCCGATCCGATTTATATATTATCTCATAATTTATTACACGTAAAGTTTTTTTCTTTTTTTTTTGAAACTTGTATCTTACTTTATCACTTTTAATAAAGAATGTCAAACCTATCAAATTTCAAAATAACATTAATATATATTATATAAAATTTGTATTAAGATTGAGAATCCTTTTTTTTTTTAAGCACGATCATGACAATGCAATCAGAGTGTGTATGATTGGCATTATTTTTCATGAAAATGTCATTTTTCCATTTAAATTTCTACTTTTTAGGTATTTGATTGACAATTAACATGAAAAATATTTTTCAAATTTTGGTCATGTGACCATATTTTCCCCAAAAATAAGGAAATTATTTCATTTGGAGGTGATTTTTATTTTCCAGATAATTCACCCTCTCTTTCTCTCTCTCCTCCTCTCTCTCATCTACCCACTAATAAAAATGGACAAGTATAATATTTTTTAGGTTGAAAATTAAATCAATCAAGCACGTTTAATTAATAATTTTCATACAAATAATTTATTTTTATTCCATACAAATTTCTTGCTTGCAATCAAAAGCACCCTTAATTTTGTTTACTATTGATTAATATGTTGACTTTGTTTTTTGTAAGAACGGCTCATTGTCTTCAAAGGTGGAAAACTCGCCCAAAATAAATTTATCGATCAGTTTTTTTCACAGGTTTCTCATGGTTGAATGTGTGGTTTTTTACAAATGGCAGCATATCTGTTGACCTTGTTTTTTGTAAGGGTGACGTGGACAACAAATGTCGGGCCCACTCACATACACACAAGCAAATTTTAACACCTTTTGACCGAAGACTTGGCCAGAGAAGGTTACTATATACGGATGTGAAAGATGTTTTAAGATGCGAGACAAAAATGTTCGGACACTGGCAACATATTTAAATATGATTGCACATTAATAACCAATCACTAAACAAAGAGTTGCAAAGAGTTCAAATAGTACAAGAGTAAAGAGTTGCATTAGATTCAAATAGTACAAGAGTTGGTATTTATAGAATTCTAGTCAAAGTAGTAACCGTTTGATAAAAAACACGTGACTTCATCTCCCAAGTCGAAATATCATATCACTAGCCTGCTACGCATTTAATGCATTCACAACGGCCATCCACCCTACAACTTAGTGGGACAGACTTGACACATGTATTTTTACAAACGTCATATCAATCATTCATAGAGATCGTCTGTAGATCTTTTAAGAGCCACGAGAGATTCAGTCAAAGGGAGCTTTCTTCACTTCTTTTTCGTGCCACTCTAACCAATCGGAGCCTCCGTAGACTTTTAGTCAACCTTTGACTTATGCCTCCACGTGGTAGTCCACGGAAGCTTAGTTTGGAGCCTCGGTGACGAGGCGTAACCCAATACATTAATTGTTTATGTAGGAAACTTGGACATGGATAAGTGAACGCTATAATTTGACTTTACACGATTCAAGAGTCTTGACTTCAAAATATCCGGACTAATTGTGAAGAGCCATGCAAGCAGATAATAATGCACGAGGACTTCAACAAGGCGTCCTTAATCAATTCTGCGGCATTCTCATTCCCTTTCTTGCCGGATTTAAAACTGTATATTGTACAAACATAACCGCAATATTCTGATCAAGGTTGGATAAAAAGTGCAACTACTTCGTCGGATCTCCTTGTTTGACATTGAGTTCAACAAAATTGACATTCCCATTCTCCATTGTTGATGCAAGTGAGATTAGTATATCGTTCAGGTCGGGATTATGAGAAAGGGAGAACATGGTGTAGAAGAATTAGTAATTTGTTTTGGTTAACAAACTTGTACTTCTGAAAGGGACAAGTAGATTTGAGGCTTTTTTTCATTTGCAGAAGCAATCTCTCTAAGGAGGAAAATCAGAGAATTATAAGCTTATTTGACCTTGTTAAACAAAGGTTCTGCAAATGTTGTTATATAGTCGAGGTAGGCTAGGTATTTTTTTTTATTTTTTTTTTTATACTCAGGTATCCCAACTTACAATAAACTATGTCCTGGCCCATCCAACCCTGACCCCTTAACCGATGGGGGGAAGTTAATCTCGGTATATGCCCAAATTGACTAGGATCCGGGCACCCTTTATACTCCTAACCCCAAAGGAG